TGTGGATTAGACTCTAATAAAAATATGCTTTGTTGTAGGGTTACCATAAAGTTGTTTTGTCTTTTATTGTTTTTGCAATTTACACATATTTCAATATTTTATATTATTGAAGTAAAAATAATTAAATAAAGTTAACATTAAAAAAAGTATAAAAATATCTTTATTTGGACTTTGATCGGTCATTTTGAATGGCAGCTATATGCTTTAGTAGTCTGAACAAAATGTTCGAAGATTGTAGCGATGTCTTGGATAATAATCTATGCGGAATTTCGTAAATATATGTATGTATTTTGTCAAATATACCAGTTTTCATACGAGGACTTGAGTTTGATCCATCTGTTTTGAATTACAGCTATATGCTATAGTTGTCCGATATCGGCGGACATCGTGGCAAATTTAATATACCCTGTTCAGGTTATAATTAAACAATTAAAAAAGTTAAATAAAATAGTAAAAAAAAGTAGTAAAAAAAAGTAGTAAAAAAAGTAGTAAAAAAAGTAGTAAAAAAGATGTAAAAAAAGTAGTAAAAAAAAATAGTAAAAAATAGTAAATAAAGTAGTGATAAAAAAAAAGAAGAAACAATATACCATATTTTTAAAATTGAAAAAATTTAAAGCGAAAAATCAAAGTTGAAATAAAATTATTTATTACTTTAATTTTTGTATTCAAATACATTTCTATTTTAATTTCACTTATTCACTTTTTAACTACCCGCTAAGAAAATTGAAAATTTTCTAAAAATCGGGAAGTTATTGGTTTCACCCCATCTTGCAAAAATCGAGTTTTCAACAGATCTTGACGTTCTGAGGGTCGAGGAAGCTTCCCCGAACATTTCTACGATGATGTCCGTATGTCTGTATGTATGTGTGGATGTATGTGTGTGTGTGGATGTATGTATGTACTTTTAAACGGCTCAACCGATTTGAATAAACTAAACGGCATTCCGGCAGTTTGGACCCAATCGGACAAGTAGATTTCGAGAAATCTCAAAAATAAAATTTTTAAAATATTACTTCGAAACGACTGATATGATCGATACCAAAAACTAATCAGTTTTTCAAACCTTGAAGAAACATATCGCTTGCCGCAAATCGGGTCAAAATCGGTTGATTTACTTGCGAGATATCGAAAACGAAAGAAATCACCAAGATTAGTCTTTGAGAAATTTGGGAAATAGTGTTACATTAAACTCGAAGAGCTCAAAAGCAGTGAAAAAAGCGAAATTTGAACGTTAACGTATGAAATTAGCGGGAAGTTGCAGAGATGGCCCTTGAGGCCAACCGTTTTCCACATTTTTTTTTATTTATTTATGAAATAAAATTATGTACAATATTAAAACAGGTGTTATTTTTTCGAGGTATATAACTTTAAGTTGGCATTACTGTTCAAGATGGCGACCGATTTAACAGCTGTCAAGTGATTTATTCTCAGTTTGGTTTGGCAATTCATCATGAATAGACCATTGTATAGATGTAGATTTATACAATGGAATAGACTGACGCCTGAACAGCGCTTGCAAATAGTGCAATCTTATTTCGAAAATAGTGGTTCTGTGCGGAATACGTATCGCGCACTACTTTCATTTTATCCTGTTTAGCGATGAAGCGCACTTCTGGTTGAATGGCTACGTCAACAAACAAAACTGCCGCATTTGGATTGAAGCTAATTCTCAAGTGTACGTCGAAACACCGTTACATCCAGAAAAACTAACTGTTTGGTGCGCTTTATGGGCTGGTGGAATCATAGGTCCGTACTTCTTCAAAAACGATGATGGCCAGAACGTTACAGTCAATGGGGAGCGGTATAGAGCCATGATTACTAACTTTTTCATTCCTGAATTGAACAACCATGATGTCCAGGAGCTGTGGTTCCAACAAGACGACGCAACATGTCACACAGCTCGTGCCACAATCGATTTATTGAAAGACACGTTTGGTGATCGCCTAATTTCACGTTTCGAACCTGTGAATTGGCCTCCAAGATCTTGTGATTTAACACCGCTAGTCTACTTTCTGTGGGGTTATGTAAAGTCATTGGTCTATGCGCATAAGCCACAAACGCTTAACCATTTGAAAGACAACATTCGCCGTGTTATTGCCGATATACGGCCACAAATGTTGGAAAAAGTCATCGAAAATTGGACGTCCAGATTGGACTACATCCGAGCCAGCGGTCATATGCCAGAAAACATATTTGAAATATAATGCCACAAGATTATCTTTCGGATAAATAAAATTCATGTCAATCGAATAATCCATCGTTGTTTTATTGCAATTTAAAATTCTATACCTCTAAAAAAACACCCGTTATTAATTTTTTATTTATTTTAATTTCACTTTTTAATTTTTTTTTCTTCTAATTTTAATGATTTACTAATTTTTTATTTACCTTGATGTTATATTTTTTTTTTTTGTAAAATGTTGCAGAATGTGGTGTAGGCATAAAATTTGGGTAGCTACTTTCATATTTTTTCGGTAGGAGAATTCTTGCAAATCAAGGGCGTTTCATTTTATTCATCATCTCCGCAGCTCTTTGTCTAATTGTTGTATTTAAAATAAATGCTTATTTGATATGTATAATATATGTTAAAATGCAGAGATATCCCTGTTTACACGCCTAGTCGCGATTAAGTTTACTGACGCGTGACAAATTGTTCCGTTTTAAAAGCAATAAATAACCGCTTATAATAAAAATAAATAATCAGCTTATTTGGTTAAAAAATTACAAGCTTGTAGCTTTCATAACATTATTTACGTGGCAATGATTGAGGTTAAACTTCTCAGTTGAAATGGTGGAAAAATAAATAACAATAATTGCATACAGTTTCCCGTTGCATTTTACAGAAATATTTCTGTAACACACATACATATGTATGTATGTACTTAGTTCTGCCATTAGTTCTGTTACAAGTCAGCCCGTTATAAAAATGATACTATAATACATTTTTAAAAAAAGTGTTAAATGAGCGAAGAACAATATTTTATTTGCAATGGTCACTTTTTGCTTTCACAAAAGCTCTCAAATGAGCTTTTGGTATTGAAGACGCTCCTCGAGCTAAAGATTTTTTTGAGAAAAATTTCTGTATGGTATTCGAGAGGCCGTGTTTTCCGACTCTGATTACAAGCTGTAGTTCAATGCATTCAAATCTGGGTTCCAGGCAGCCAATCATCTGCAGCTATGAAACCAGGAATTTAGGTTTTAAGCCACTGCTGGGTTCTTTTTGCCTTGTGTGCTGGAACAGAATATTGCTGGAACAGAATATTGCTGGAAGATCCAATGCTCTCCATCAAAGAGAGTATTTCTTAACTGCTTTACCACGCCTTCCTAAACATACTGCCGTCACACTTTTGTTCCAGTTTTAATTTTTTTTTAGAGAAGGAAGAGTTGTAACGCCTTTACAGGAGACTTTCCACGAAACAATTATAGCACCTGAATGGTGACCACGTTAAACTCTTGAAATAACTTTTTTTTTGCGTCTTCTTGCAAGTTCTTGTGTAGATTTTGTTGTTTTTTTTTTTAAACTTCTTCAACAGTGAACATTTTTTCATCTGTAAAAAGGATAGTTGGATAGCCACGACGGTAGGCTTTCATATAGAGGTCATCTAGAATAAGTCTTAGTGTGAGCAATATATTCATTTGCCTGACAATGCTTTGTATGTTTATATCACCTTATTCACATTGCTGTTTGCCGGTAAACTTAATTCGAAGCAATACTTTATCATTTTATTGACATATTGCGACAAGTTTTCATGAATATCTCTGTTGTAATCAGTTTTAAAAATGAATAATAATATTTCATATAACCATCTTTAGCGGCTACAACATCTTTGATTCTTCTTGGCGCACAAATTTGCGCATGTTTCTGACGAAATAAAATCCCACCCCTGCTGCACCTTAGGCCATAATTCGCTCTATAAGCTAATTTAACCATCAACCGATTTTTTTAATGTACCCCACAGGTGCTCGATGGGGTTAAGGTCTGGAATTTGTGGAGGCCAATCTAGTGTACTGATGTTATTGTCCCGGAACCGTTTGCGAGATGCCCGTGCTGTGTGTTTTAGGTCATTGTCCTGTTGAAAGACAATGTCCGACGCCTCTTTACCTAAGTCTCCTACAGTGCCAGGCAAATGATTGCGCAGAATCTCAATATAAGACTCTGCCACCATTCGTCCACCCTATCAACCTTGCTTCTCCAGGTCCATTCGCGCTCTAACGATTTATTATGGTCTCGTCACGAGACTCACGACCTTCTCCCAGTCATTTGTATTCCAGTTCTTGTATGTCCCCTCGCCGTTACCGTTTAAATTCTATATCTTCAAAAAGCCTTCTCCATCAGAGAGAATTTCCATAACCTCTTACACCGATGATACACGATATTGACATCGGGCACTGGAAGCGATGACAAGTGTTTGAAAGTGGATGAAACTTTCTCGCTTCTTTACTTCTCTAACTGAAGAAAGAACAAAAAAACGTTGTTTCTGTTTGAATGTTTTCGCAGAAATCGGATAATGTAGCAGGTTAAACTTCTACATACCACCCGACATACAAAACTTATGTTCTGTGTACAAGGAGTTCCCGCATGATACTAACCACCTCTTGGCGGGTTGAAACTAATTCCGTATGACCTTAAACCCATTAAACCCACTCAATTTACACCCTTCTCTTTGGTCCGACGCCATCGAAACAGTTCGTTTTCCGGCCGCATGATGGCTATGCGTTCATCGGAAATCGTAATTGCCGATGATAAATGCATATAATTATATTTATAACCAAATACTATAAGGCGTCATCACATAGATTAGATAAACGCGATAACAGTAGGTTTTATATGCTGTTTACTGCTGCAATAAAGTTAATTTTTTTCCAATAAAAATGATATTGACTTATCATAACTGCACTTCGCTGATACCTGATTTTAGCTTAGCTGCATCTATAAATTATGAAAAATATACATATGTTCTAATTACAATCAATTTAATAAGTGTACTCTATAATTTCAGCATACGAAGCGTACCGGATGGGTGCTGCGAAACGTCAGTGACCCCGAATCTATATCGGGTCATATGTATCGCATGAGTATGATGACTTTTCTACTGGACGGTAGCGAAGGTCTTAATCAGATACGCTGCATGGAATTGGCTTTGGTGCACGATCTGGCTGAGAGTGTAGTTGGCGATCTCACGCCGTTTTGTGGCGTCTCCAAAACGGACAAACGCGCTATGGAATTCAAGGCAATGGAAGACATTTGCAAGTTAATAGAACCGCGCGGCAAGCGTATCATGGAACTTTTTGAGGTATAAATATAAACATATAATATTATATATTTTATTTATTTATTTCTTTGTCGCCTGACTTACAGGAATACGAAGCTGGTGAAAGCGCTGAATCAAAATTTGTCAAAGACCTCGATCGACTCGATATGATTATGCAAGCATTTGAATATGAGAAACGTGATAATTGTCTTTTGAAACATCAGGAGTTCTTCGATTCTACTGAAGGTAAATTCAATCATCCATTCATCAAGAAACTGGTTGATGAAATCTACGACCAGCGACAGAATTTGGCGCGCGCCGAAGGTGCTACGCCACCACCGCCAGTGCAGGTGCCCGATATTGAGGCATTGCCTAGCACTAATGGTCAACACAAGAGCGCGGATGCTGCGCCAGCGATCGAGGAAGCAGCCGTGGAATCGCCAAAGAGCAAAACCAGCACCACTAGTTGATTGCGCAGCAGCACGTAAGGCATGCAAAAGTTGCAAAAAATAAAAAGAAATAGCAGCACTGGCAAAATATGCATATGCCACGGCAACTGTCAAACACGGATTTGTTTGACAAGTTTTTAAATAATTTTCTCTCAGTTAAGTTAAATAAACTAATAATCGCGATAGTTAGTACTTTATTCTGTGCATAGTAGATTTTATTTTGCTTTTGCACCAAGTCAACAAACAAAAACAAAAACTAACTGTTCATTTAATTTATCACTCGTCTTAGTGCACATGGTATTTAAAAGTGTAATGTTAAATAGTCTAAGTTAAATTAAAATATAATTTAATAACCATCCTATTACCTGCACGCTACAACAAAAGGTTGTAAAGCGAGAATTTTAACGATGTTTTTAATTTTTATTGTAATACAAAAGCAGTGACATTACATTCATAGTTATTTCGATAAACGTTATAAGTAACCCATTGTTTCATGCTACATCGTAATTTGCTGTAATAGCAAATTTTATCGGCATTATAGACACTTATGTAATTTAATTTGTACAATACTAACAACATTAAAGCACTGGGATTTGTTGTTATAGCATAAAACAACCAGCTTGCTGCTTCAGTGATAGTCCTTGGTAGAATATAACAAATACCGATGTGGTAGATTCCACTGTGGTAGGTATGATTAAATCTGTGGTAAAAGAAGGTAAACGTTAAAAAGTTTTTTGTTTTATTGGTACCACAACAATCAATACCGTGTCCAGTAACAGTTAAATAAGACTGAAGAAGTTAAGCGGATTGCAAATGTATAAACGCTAAAATTGAAATTCTATTAAATACAAGTGTCACATGCAATTTAACTTATATTTATCTGCTCTTTTAGTGTCTACTGTTATGATTCTAATATTTTATGAAGCATACACATTGTGATAACTTTCATCCTTTTACTTCATTTGCAACTGCAGCAACGATAACCAAATAAAAAATATTGATTATTTGCAATAGGTGAGATACTTAACAATGTGCTTTATTTCTTAAACAAGAATATTATTTAACAAAAATTTTTGAAACAAAAGTTAAAATACTTGCCCACTTTATAAAAGGAAATGCATGTTAAAATGTAAAAAGAGTATTCAAATCAAAAAATATATTGGAGCCATTATCTAAATATATTTCATTTCTATTAACCATATTCTCCCAGAAAACATATGAAATTCATCATCTCGCTACTTTATTTTTATTTAAACAACTTAGAATTAAGCCTTTAGCTTAATTTTAAAACACATGTACTATGTATTAAATAGAAGGAAAATGCGTTAGAAGCAAACATATTAGTTATTTATTAAGAAACTGAATACATACAGACGCATTCGCATATGAAAAAGAAAGCTTTTTTTTAATGTAAACAACTCATACCTCTCATTTTAAAATCATCAAATTTTGGAGGTTATGTTTAATAATAACTAATAAACATTGTTTCTTGACGATTAGCGAAAATATTCAAATACCAAATATTTACTTAAAATTTCAACTTACAAAGAAGTTCATTCATTGTAATAGCTAAACCAAGTTTCTAATATAGAAAGTCCGTTAAGTGTGTATCTAATTTAAAAACTTGAATTTACCAGTTGTAAAAATATATTTGTAATTAATTGAAAATCAAAAAAAATTTAAATTCGAAACCAAATGAACTTTTAAAGTGTTTAATTATTGGTCATTAATAAGCTCTTCATTCCATTCCATTAATGTTTTTTCAGGTGTTGCATAAGATAATCATCTTGGCTCTATTCTGTTATTATTTATTAACAAGATTTTTAGAGTACTCTAAAATTTTATTATACGTCGACAACATAACTATTTTTAAATCATATACTTCAACGGGTAAAAGGTGTCTGTTGCAAATAAAATTTAACAATTCGGTAGCTTGGTGTGATAAAAATGATTTGCCATTGAATTTAAAAAAATGTAAGACATTCAGCCTTTTCCATAGATCTGAAACTATAGACTAGAGCAAGTTTGAAACTTTGAATTGAAGGGCTTATTTAACATTGTTAGAATTTTCCGATTTAGACGAAATATACACCGTTTTGTTCGTTAACTTGTTGGCATTTTGAAGGTAATTATTGGGTGTATGCATTAATTCGTGCGGTTTTTTTACGAAAATTAAGACTTTATTGTGAAAAAATTGTTATACATTTAATGTTCAAAGTATTGCCCATCGGAAGCTATAATGTTTGCCCATCTTTCTGGCAGTTTGTGGATCCCATCCCAAAAGAACTTCTCCGGCTTGGAGGTCAAGAAAGAATCAATCCAATTTCTGATACCCTGTTCTGAAGAGAAGCGTACTCCGGTGAGGGCATTCTGCATTGATATGAACAAGTGGTAATCGGAAGGTGCTATGTCTGGGCTATAAGGCGGGTGAGGTAGAACTTCCCACCCACAGTTTTCCAAATAGTTTTTAACTGGCCTTGCAACATGTGCCCGAGCGTTGTCATGATGAAAAATTATTGATTCGTGTCTGGTCGCATATTCTGGTCGTTTTTCCGCGATGCCCTTTTTCAAACGTATCAATTGTTTTCGGTAGAGGTCCCCATTGATCGTCTGACCCGATTTCAATAGCTCATAATAGAGCACACCCTTGTGGTCCCACCAAATACATAGCATAACCTTAGCAGCATGGATATTCGGCTTTGCCGTGAATGTTGATGGTTGGCCGGGCTTCACATACGATTTGGGTTATCATAATGAATCCATTTTTCATCGCCAGTGACAATCCGATGCAAAAACGACTTCTTTTGGTGGTCCAGTAAAATACGATGGCTTTCGGCAGCACTTTTCTTCATGTTAAAATAATGAAGAAGAACTCCCCGCAAAAACACTTTATCTGGTACAAATTTCGACATTTTCAAATGAATGAAACAAATTGTTGTTCACGCTCAAACAATTTATATCTACTGAAAACGACGCGTAATGGCAGTACCTTTGAAATGAATATAGCCAGAGATGAATACGACGCGAAATAATACTAGTAGAGCCCTCTCTTAGAAAACCGCACGAATTAATGCATACACCCAATACATAATGCCACACACAAGAAACCATTGTCCCTGTTTGCAAAAAAGTAAGATAGTCGATTTTCACTTCTATTGGGAGTTATACCTAAATGGTATCAAACAGTTTTTTGTCATGCTTAGCTCCTGGGCAATCGAAACAGCGCTTATGGTACTTGATGGTGGGCCTCGTTGATTTCCCACCCAGTTGCGATACTATTTAGTAACGGTAATGCTGTGACATTAACTCTCTAACATGGTGACAACCAAAGGAGTTAAAAGAAAACAGTGGAACACTAGTAAACTAGTGGACCTCGTGATCAAAAGCAGATATCAGAATAAAATCGGCGAAGAGTTAAAGCAACCAAAATTATCTGACAGCGTCGAGGAAGAATAGAAAATTTTAAAAAATTGTATTATATCACAATTGCTGCAACACATATACTTGGAAGTGAAACTAAAAACAACAAGCAAGGAAGAGCTAAGTTCGGGTGCAACCAAACATTTTATAATCTTGCAACTTTCAAGGAGTACTTGTAATGTCAGTTATATTTGTAATATAATATTAATTGTTATATTAGTTATATATGTGGGCAGGGCAAGTTTTGACGCGATTTTATTTGTTATTAGTAAACCACACTCTCTCGTTTTCACTAAGATAACTCACATATTGGTATAAAGAAAACCGAAAGTTCGAAGATCTTTATGTTAGGTATATGGCGTCTAAGAGAAGCCTTTATCCTATTCAACCCATTTTTTACATACAGGTATCTTTTTACCAGAAAAGGATTTGCTCCGAATTTAAATAACATAACTCACAGATTGATCGATATTTTCGATAAAATATTCGCTGTAGGAACTGGGGTTTACATATTTGGTGTTTGGGGCTTGAATACTTGCAGTCCTATTTTGAAAATTTTTGGTCATAAGGTGGTCTACTTTCGGCGCACTATTTATGCAAAATTTAATGCTGATACATTTATTGGTGCTTGATTTGTATACTGGAAAGTGAAAGAATTAGATGGAGTGTAAAATGAAAAAAATCTTGTGTTATATGGGAAATATTCGTGGCTGTGGTCCGATTAACTGTGAGGAGAATGTTATGTACCGAATTTGGTTGAAATTGGTCAAGTAGGTCGGGAGATATGTGATTTCACCAAAATGTGGGCGGTGCCACTCCCACTGCATTTAATTATTGATTTATTGTAGCTTTAGTGGTTTAAAAACTGGCTTCTTAAAAAAGCCCGAGCTGCTGAAGAATTATACATTGAAGTAAGCGTATAGCGACCAAAACGTGTCAGAAAAACAAAAGAGAAACCAAGAGAGGAAAGACCTAGAAACTCTGTGTGCAGATTTTAACGATAAGCACTACTGCAAATTTTATAGAAAAATTAAGGTAGAAAAATGAGGATTTCAACCGAGGTTAAAAATATGTAGAAGCAAAAAAGGCGAAATACTTACAGATAAGAAGAGAAAATTATAGAGAAGGGCTGAACATTCAAAGAGCTGTTGAATGCTGGCGGGTTTGATTTTCACACGGATTTGAGCATAATGCGTCCGAACAACGCAGTGTTCTACTGTCCCAATTAGCAACCGCCATCAATACAAGAAATACCTGGAGAGCATAATGTAATAGCTAAGCTCATTAAAAACACAAGCATCCTGTTTATTAAACGAATTCATCACCTGACGACATTGATCTGGAAGAGTGAAACGCTGCCAGAAGATTGAAATACACCAATATTAATTCTCATTCTCCAAAATGGCGATAAAACAAACTGAAAAAATTACCGCGGAATTTCCTTTCTCAGCACGGTGTACAAAATATTTACGAGGATTGTAAATAACAAAGCGGATTTAGATCGGAAGGTCAACAGTAGACCAAATTTTTTCTTTCAAACAGTCTATGTAGAAATGTTATGAGCGCAGTATAGATTAACATATGCTATTTGTTGATTTCAAGGAAGGATTCGATAGCTTTAATATGATGATGAAAACACAAAACCGTTTGAAAATTTACCCATATGAATTTGAAAGTGTGAAGCCTTTACTTACTTGGGCTTCGAACTTATTAGCAATAACTCAACAGGCCTGACTATCGAAAATAGAATACAAGCCGCCAGTAGGTCATACGCGTCCCTAATGAAAGTGTTCAAATCAAAGCTACTCAATAGGCAATGTCAGCTGGCTCTATACAAAACCATTATTCGATCCGTATTGTGCTGCGATGTAGAATCGTGGACCCTATTCGAAAAGGACAAAACCAAATCTTCGAAAGAAAGATCATGAGAAAAATCTGACCCGTAAATATGCACGGGATGTTCTTTACAGAGATATATCCCCTTTAACTCTAATAATGTGACTGAAATCTTGAGAGTTAAGGAATCACCCTTTGTGGGCTATAGTTAGCTAGAGTAGTGATACTAATTACGTTCAGAATATTGTAGTAGGTTAAAGTTTTACCTAACCAAATTAAACCCCACAAATCACTTCTTGTCATACTCTCTCATCTTGGCAATCAAATCCATGAAACTCGGTCGGGATTCCCAAGTTTCAAGTTGACGCCGATAAACTGTGGCAAACTGTTAAAGCCTTTTTCAACCTGCCTAAAGAAGACTATTATACAGCAGACCTAGGATTACGTTAGACTAACTACGATTCGGCTAATGTATTAAACCTAGAAATAAGTAGTAAAATCTAATAAACTTTGGAAAGTGGCGAATCGAACACGGAACTGGTAAAATGTTTCTCACATACACTCTTGTGTTGAATTTAACTTAGTTTTATTGGAGATCAGCGAACCGAAGACGGCGTATATTTGATTACTAGAAATGCAATTGGATTTGTGGCAGTCGTTTGCACTCCCCAACGTTTTGGAATTCGAAGTCAACATGTATGTACATACATATGTACTATATGACGCAAGGAAAGTAACCTCAGAACACGCCGAACGAACAATCATTACAAT